AATTTCTAATTTATGCTTCACTCACGCTCATCCTCGAATTCATGGAGTGAAGTTTCGAACTATACGAGAGCGCACGCATTTTACGTCGAAAGTCGCAGCGACACGGGAATGCGATTTACCTGAGGCGTTCCCTTCAACAATATTAAAAGGAGCAGTCCCTCGTGAAAAGGACGACGATGACGACGGTACGCGTACCTGGGGCAAACCCGGGAGGGAGGAAGCAAAGGAAGTGTAGAAAGGGATGGGCGATCCGGATTGTCCCGAGTAGGAAAACGGCCGAAAGTTCTGCATGTTCGGCTCGCAGCAGTTTAAGTTTCCGCGGGGCACCGAAGTTATAACGAGAATTGCTCTCGCTCCCCCTTCTCTCTCTCTCTCTCTCTTTCTCTCTCTCTCTCGCCGTAAAGTTTTCCACCTTCGAGTTTCACCCCCGTGCGCACATACTTCTCCCCATTTTTCTCACTCTTCCTCTCTCTTGCGCCTTACATTTTCCTTGTGTCGCCCCGTCTTTCTCTCGCATGCATACACTCGCTGTGCAGTGCTCGCTCCCATGTAAGTCGTGTACATTGCAGGCATTTTTTTTTCTTTTTTTCGAATACAAGAGACTCACCGTCTCTGTCTTTCATCCTTCTTCTTTCGAGTCCTCTCTGCCGTCACACTCGTTCCTATTGCCTTTCTTCACGGTGGATATTCGTATGGCAAGAATAAAACGCTGGCATATTTCAGACTTATTGCCCCCCGCCACTCGCTGAGTATTCTCGGCTCCTTTATTGCGCCTAGTTTCATTCTTTTTCCGGTTTACGGTATTACCGCAACGGTATTACACGTGTTTCAGCGTCCTTATCCTCGCCCTTGTGCACAAAACTACCACTCGATCCTGTAGTTCTACCGTTTGCGAATCTTCGAGGTATTCGTTTATGAACTATAACGTTTTTAGCTCGCTTACATTGCAAATACTCTCCGAATCAAAGAAGATTCTAAAACTATGTATTCTAATAAATTCTGAATGTCACTTTTTATGAAATCTCTAGTTTAATTTAAAACATATCTCAAAAAAACTAAAAAGAAAATTTGATTAATGCAGTTTTTCAAGGTTTTTTTTAATTTTTAGTTTGAATAATGCACCGAGAAGATAGAATTGAAAAATAATGTTTTGAAAATTTCCTTTGAAAATAAAATCTCACTGTGTGAGCCCAATATTATATTCGATATTTTTTTGCGCAACATGCTAAATACATATAAATAGTGGTCTATATTTTTGTTTTCGTTGAAAAAACATTACTGTTTTTCTAAAAATCGAATTTTGTATACCGCGCATTTAAACATAATTTTTAACCCTTGCTATCGGGTAGAAGTTTTGATAAATAATATATATTTATTTTAAAAAAGTTTAATTATACTCAATAAAATTTTCCATGCAATCTCATCATTGTAAATAATTTTAATAACAAAATACACTATTTATGCAAATATTATACTAGCAATAAAAAAAAATCCAAATTATTGTAATATTACCGATTTTCTTAGAGTTCCACGTTCTGTGTCACTATTCTCCAAAACAATTAATAGTTTGTTTCTGTATTATCGAACAGCTCGGATTAATTTCAATGTGTCTGATTATTGATACTGTCGTATTACTACGGAAACCCTATTACACTGTCAGACTGTCGCTTAAGTACCGAATGGTACTTTGGGTAAGGTTCCCAATAATCGATACTGTAAATGGTTGGAATGGTTTCGACCCTTTGACCCGCATTGATCCACGAGAATATTGTCGCTATTTGTCAAATCTTACGTTATTCAAGAATCAAAAACGCGATACGTAGTACGTTCAAAAAATAACTAACGCAACTCAAGGTAAACTTACTTGATCTCGTGAATACAAAATTCTACAATTTTATTTTTACATTTAAATAAATTAAGTTTTTAATAAAGGGAGTATTATAGTATAAAAATCAAAGTCCCAATTCTATTAGACAATTTGAATAACAATAATTTATTCTAATTTTCGAGTTTTTTTTCTTTTCTTCTCTCTCCACTTTTCTTTCTCGAATTTCTTATTACCAATTAAATTGCACCTGCAGTTTTCTGATTTCTGTAACAATCAACGAGTTAAGCTGTTCCAACTTTGAAATCCTACCATTGTCTTTAATGTCTAGGAGTGATTCGCTGTAACGTCGTCCCACAGCGAGGATAGGTGCAGCAAGAAGAAGGGCGCAGAACGGGCGTGCCCGAGAATGGGCTCGGATAGCGGTAACGTTTCAAGTAGCATTTCCTTGGCACAAACGACCCTCTTAATCAATCGCTAGCACCTCTCTTCTTCTCCGGCTGCTTTGGCTCTACAGCTTCGAGCTGTGCGTGGAGCACCGTCCTCCACCTCTTGCTGCCTGAAGTCTAAAGCCTCCGTAACAAGCCGCAACTTCGATAAATCTCCCCACGCCGTCTTTCTTTCCCTGAGAGCCGCGATTCCGCGGCATTAGTAAGAACGAAAGGAGAAAGGCGAGCAAAAGATATATCTCGGATCGATTTCGGCGAAGGCGCTCGAGGAATACGATACGAAAAGGGGGAGGGGAAGGCAATGATGGGGAGCGAGGAGACTGCAAATCGGGGTACAGGAGAGAAAAACTTATGAAAATCCGGGATTTATGGGGACCTGTGAACGAGAATCGGGCCAAGCCGCGCCGCTGTAGTTCGGCTCTGACAAATCGTCCGGAAGTTAACGTTCTCGGTCGTCTCTGGATCGCCTTTCCGCAAACGCGAATCTCTCCCTTGGTGCCCTGTTCTGGGAAGAAAAAAAAAACTTTCGACCCTTTCGACGCCCGTATTTCGTATCAAAAGTTTGCATGCGTCTCGCTTCAACGGCAAACGCTTTCGACGAAGTTGAAGTTGTTTCTTTTTTAAAAGTCGGAAAATCAATAAACGCCACGCGATATTGGTTTCAAATTTTTATATTTTCTTTTGCCGTTTGGTTACTTTACCGTGAAGCATGTTTTCGCAAAACTTACGATAAAAAGGACAAAAACTGATAAAGTCAAATTATAACTGAATATTATAAACTCAATGCAAATCAATTAATGTAATTAAATAAACGCTGGTAATATACTTTATGATAATAGATTTTGTCGTTAATTCTACGCACTGTGTTTATTTCTCACGTTATTACAACAAATTTCTTTTTCAAACAAATAAAAAATAGACATTTCACATCCAATTTCATATTCAGACAACTGATTAGAAAATTCTCAAATTACGAAAGATTTTAAATCATAGTATCAGGAAAACATCTTTTCCTATCATTCTCCATCATATTTTCTGCCGTAAGTAATATTCCAAAGTAAACTTTCCAGATTGATTTCAAGATTCGTCAATAGGTTCGAATCGAAAGAAAACGATAGCAATCAAAGTTATTCTACAGAAAGATAGATATGCAAGAATTTTGTACAAAATATTTGCCACTCCATAGCACCGAATTTGAAATATAATCTCTGATTGGTGAAAGAGATCCCAACATGTATGTCTCTCTCGATCTTCGAGCATGAAAACCCACATATTTCTCACAGAATTTTCGTGCTGAAGTTCTCCATATCGGCAGCCATTCGTAAAAAGACCTGACGGAGTGGAATTACTGTAGGAAGGAAGGAACATGAATGCTCCGGCTGAATGGAAAATGGCAACTATAAGGAAAGTCTAAAAGTTTCGAGCTTCGGAAAACTGAAAATGGGGAAAGGCTGCGAGTTTAAGCACCGATATAAACGATCGGGCTCTTGCTTTCGGCGCTCGAGAAACGATCCAATCCGAATAGTCACCTGCGCCGTTTAGAAGGAAGCAATAATCGTTTGATTCTGTGCGTTTCTATAGTAGAATCCCCGATTGCCAGACCTTTTGTTCGTAAGAAGGTATAAGATTGAAAAGCCTGCTGTACGCAGAGATAAACGCGATGTCCAAAAAGATTTAATGCCCTTCTTTATCTCATCTGTGCATTGTACATCTTCATTTATTTATCTTTATTTAATGTGTTCATTAAATCTTGAACTAATTCGATATTAGCGTATATAATGTATATTGCGATAATAATCGATTAATTATTGACTTAAAATTGTTAAAACTAAAAAATAAATTAATCCTATCTTTATCGATAAAAACGTCTTAATTTTAGTATTGAAAATCTAGTATCATTATTGATTGTATCTGAATAAATAAACGTCATTATTGATTGTATCAAAATAATTTTAACTGCAATTTTGTGAATCCTGCCAACGATTATCGGTAACGCAAGTGGATCGCTTTGTCGAGGAAAGTCTCGGATCTGATCACATAAAGCAAGGATTACTCTAATCCATCGAAATAATTTTGCATTAGAGCACATACGAGGTTGGATACGGGGCTAATCTACTCGGACCAGGAGCGAGTGCTCTTCGAAAACGTGGGAATTAAATCCCAAAAATATGAGGGAAGCGAACTTCGTTATAATAAATTCTGAAGTAACCAATAGAAATTTATGCGTCGCATAAGCCAATTATTTATTATATACCACCATGATTTTCAGAGAGAGTCTTTTTAGCTCTTTAGTAACCGCAATAAAGAGAAAAAAAAAACAAAATATAACAATGAAGCTTTATGCAAAAAAAAAAATTAAAAATAAGAAAATCAAGTGGCTCCTATTATACTTCAAAAATTAATTTGTACCCAATAAAATTTAATATTATTATGAACTCAATAATGTACTCAACAGTTAATCGAGTTAATCTTTGCTTTGTGTTTATAAAACACTGCCTTTTCGTATTGCATTGACCGTTTCCAACTATTATGACAAAACTTTAATATATCAATATAATTTAGTCGACTCCCGGCTCATAGAACGCTATTTTCTTAGAATTACTTGTTCGATCGTAGCAACTTTCATGTCTAACCATCTCCTACGATATCATAACAAGCGCACTTCTACGCACGTTTTGTGTTTGATCAGTAAGCAAACGTGAAGAAGAGGATAAGAGGCAAGTTACCTGCGCCAGCCGCCCCTAGCCTCAGGACTGCATCGCTTTGAAGAGAGATAGAGAGGGTGGCGGTGTCCTCGAGGCGGGCGAGGACCTCTTCGGGAATGTCCTCGGGTTCGCGGAGGCGGAGAGTGACTTCACCCCCGCCTCCGCTACTCTGGCCACCTCCACCCCCGGGACTCGTCGACGCCGAGTACATGAACACAGATCCGTATCCATGTAGTGACTGCAGTGGCAGCCTCACGCCGCCTACCTCTCCGACCGGACCCTGAAAATTAAAATATGAATTATCGTTAGAGAATGCGGACTAATCAAAGTAATAATTCGAGTATAAGAGATTAACGATATACAATTTTGTTCTGATTAGAATCTGGAAATTCTTGTTCTGCATTGTCCGGATATGAAAACTGGCGTTGTAAGATTACCGTACTATGCATCTTCACACAAATAAGAACACTTTTATTTTATTTTAACAACCGACTGTTGTATTTAACTCAACTAAATGTAAATTTGCGTCTTAAGAAGATTTTTAATTACTGAAGATGGCCAGATTGTGTGCCGAAACGTTTAATTGTTTATTGATTGATATGTTGTATTGATAAACGCTTAAAAAATTTTTTTCATTGATGTAAGTTTGATTATCACAACCGACAACCTGTGCTGTGGTTTTTTATGTTCCTTGTTTTCTAATTTTTAAAATTATAACCACTTTTATTTAAGATATATTTCAAAGTAATAATCTTAATTATATATGTATAATTGTTAAATTCTTTGTCTCAGATTATAATTTCATAAATAATTTTTAACAATCTTAAAACAAAATAAGTTGAAAATTATTTATTCTTTATGAGTGATGTGTATTTCTTATTACCTATTACTTTTCTGTGATTTTATCAGAAATTGATAAATTCACAAACTGATAAAAAGACTGATAAATATAGCTAACTATAATAATCCTAATAAACATTTTAAAAAAAAGTAACTTTGCAATAAGCAAGTAAATCTTTGTGTTTACATTATTTTATCTTACTACTTCGAGTTTCTTTGAAAATTCAACGATATCTTTCGTGCAATGTATATAGAGAAAAACAATAAAAAGAAACGATAGTTCTGTTTCGTCAAATAAAACGACCGTAAAAACACTCGATACATATGTTACGTCCAGTGGAATAGTATCCAGGAGCCGCATAATATTTGCCATGGAATTCGATTGGTAGAAACGAGTGGCTGGAAGACGCGTCTGAATCGATTGATGTGTCATATTAAATTTAAGGCTACAGTTTTCCCTTCGTCCAGCCGTATCCCGCGGGAAGACCTTCGTTCTCTTTTACCGTTCCTCTTGTCTCTCGTCTCGTTTGCCGCCGCCGTAGCCTAACGTTCTCTTTTACGTACAGAAATATTTTGCCAATTTCGCTGTCGATGCAAATTTCAATTCGTGAGCGTCAATATTTGCTGAATCGCGCCGAAAAAGGATTTTGATGTACTGACATTTTATCCGCCATCGAACGCGCGTTTAACTTCCACGTGAAAAAGACTCTACGCCACGGTGAAAAATAAAGACAGAAAATACAATACATCCTGACAAATACATGAATGGAAAATGAAATAGATCTTTCTTCTCATTCAGATTACGATAAATAAAAACAGAGAGAGAGAGAGAGAGAGAGAGAGAGAGAGAGAGAGAGACACCTCCTCTAGTAAAAGCTCGACTTTGCTCGAGATATTTTAATGGAACGAAGAGATTCAATTATCGCCGCGCGTGTTTCTCCGCGCGCACAGTTTCTGATATGCTGTCGGATGTAATAAGGAATATCGAAGAAACGTGGTGATAATGATAGTCGATATTACTCAGAAAAAGTGCGATGCAATATCGAGATACAATGGAAATGTCCGATGTTTTGTATCACGATCGATCGATAAGTTAATGTCACTATACCCAGTGAAATGGGATTATAGTGTTCACTATAAATGAATTATTCTGCTATTTCCCAAACCCGCTAGAGAAAGAGAGAAAGAGAAAGAGAATTGTCTTCGGCAAAATTTATCGATTATGTGGCACGTGAAAATTAACAAAAAGATATACTTTATTAAAACACAGCTTAACAAATAGTTATTCATAGAATATATTTTTTTTTGTATAAAACAGAAAACAATCCCATTTTACAAATGAAAAAAAAATATTATTGACAATCTGATGTAAGCAAACTGATAGAAAAAATTTGTATGTCGTTATCAATAATAAAAAAAATATTTTTTGGAAATGCACATGCAACGTCAAAGCTAAATACAGATATATTTGTGCCAAGCATAAATTTGAAATAACAGATGTTGTTAGTTTCCGTAAACAGGAAAGTCGGCCGATTCGCGTACAAGCCAGCGAGAATTAAAAATATCGGTGTAATACTGGTACAAACAAGGTTTACTGAAAATGTTTGTAGAACTCGGGCACGTATAAATGCCATCTGTATAAAGGCAATGTGCCTGGATAGTACAAACACCGGTTTTAATTCCGACGCGAATCTATACAGATGTGAACCGCACAAACAGAGAGTGTACTCCGTTTACCGATTAAAATATTATGCGCTATGATAATTGAAAAAAAATGTATCTGTACAGCAGTAAAAAAAAATACTGCGGGTAATAATATTACGAAAAAAAAGTTTGTGAATATTACTGTGAAAATTTATAAAGGTGTAAATATAATCATATCTTCACCATAAACGTCTAGTAATTCTATTTTTATAGTTAAGCCTATCTCTATCTGAGATATTTGTATTCTATTAGATAGATGACTCTTTAGAAAGATTATTATAATTTAATTAATTAATCGATGTAATATATTTCAAACTCTCCTTTGTTACAAGGAAAAAACCATAATTAAGTAATAATATAGATTGAATTCTAAACATCAATCATATTCTACAAAATTAAAAAAAAACTTATATTTACAAAGAACATATTAACTAAAAAATTCTATTAAATTTTTGATTAACTAAAAATAATGCAAAATCTTATTGAGAAAAAAAAACATTAATTATTATTGTCACCTTTTTATCTACTTTCGCAATAAAATTTACAAAGAACATGAACACTTTATGTTAAAATGTTATTACTTAACTAATATTTTTTATAATATGCATTAAAAAATATATATACAATACATATAATCGTATGGTTAACACATGAAAAAAAGACAACAGTATTCTAATAATACCCAATATTGTTTGTACATAAAGTTATTAAACATCACGAGGCAAGAGCCTTTAATGCTAAAATTTTAATCGTATTTTTGCAAATTTCAAATGCGATTTGTAAATGTTTCGATGCCATAAACATCCTCAAAAATATTTCGAAAGCACAGTACGCTTAAGCTGGGAAATTTCAAGTTCGTACGTATACCCGTAATGCATCCGATTTAATGGCCAGTGCCGTGTATCCGGTCGCGCGAATTTTCCCATTGTTAGCGGTCCAGGCGCGAACCGCGTACTCTCTCTATTATTTACGTAAATTGATTCGTACCGCTGACTATTTCCGCGTCACGTATTCGCAGCCATCGAGCTAGCCGATGCGACGCGGCGTTATAGGCGGCCAGCACAAGCCGTCGCTATAGCCGCGTGATGAGAGTAATTTATTTTAATGGTCATTTTCGTAATGGGTCTTTGAACAGGGCGCATGAACATCTCTGAATAGGACACGTATAGCGTAACACGGCAATCCCCCTTCCTGCTTCTGCTTCTCCGTATACACGTGGTGGTCGACGTGTCCCACGTGTAAGAGAGAGCACGGTAACTGTGCCATTCGCGAAAATGGCACCTGTTACCGGAAACAATGCCCGTCGCCGTCTCCACGCTTTTCCATTTTAGCAACCGCGAAAACTTTTCTGTTCCACCTCGCTCTTTCTCGTTTTTACGGCCGGCATTGTAGTGCGACGGTGTAACGGAGAATCCAGTACAATTGGCAAAGCGACGGCCCATTTATGACGCCCGGGGATCATTTCCATGAAGTTGCAATTAATTGAATCCCTCCCGAAAACCGTGATTTGTATGACGCGTTCAGGAAACGTTTTTTCGTAATACAAAAACGATACAGACATTACGTTCATTATATACGTATATATTATACGATATTTTCCTCTCCGTTACCGGCGAGGGAATATTTTTTGAAATCACTTTTATATAGCAAGTACATCGAGTAAACGAGGAGGGTACCGAGAGATGCCAGAAAGTTAAATCGATTTCAAGTTCACCGGAAGAACGAGAGGACTTTTAGATTCGACTTTCGCCATGGCAGCAAAAGCGAGCTTCAAAGTCGGAATCCGGCGTTCTCGCTCGGCAAGGCGGAAGATTACGGTAATAGATACGGCAGGGATATCTCTGAGAATCGAGCAGAGCACATATCGCCCGGGATCGATGTCATTCTCGATACACACTATTACACGTGCTCGATCAAGAGCGAAAGTCTCCCATGGATATTCGAATAAATGTCTACGACACTAGCGGGACACTTTGGAAAAAGGACTAATAGATATGAGATGCTTCGAGTTTTTTAGATTATACTTCTTGTTATGGGCTTTAAAAATGCCTTTTTATTGTTCCCCACTGATTCGTAAAAGTATCCCAATACTTATACTGTTATCTATACATCTATCTCCTTTCATCTATCCTCTCCCATTTCTACATCCCTTTCTCCTTAAAAATCTCTATATGGAAAGAACAATTTTGCTGCAATTTTTAAAATGCATAATAGCTAGATAAATAGCCGATCTAAAAATAATTTTGTTTGAATCATAAAAATAATTATGCCCAAACTAATTGCTAGAATGTTGATTTTTTATAACATTATTCATATTTGAACGTTCTACATTTCTACATAATAATTTTGATATGCTAACAAAATTATTTATACAGATCTATATCTAGTTAAACCTTAGAGACTTCAATAAAATCGTTTTTTCCATATAATCCGAAGTTCCACATTGATAATAATTCAAAAGAATTTGAGAACGTCAAAATATGTTCTCATTATGTGTAAAAGCTATTGATAAAATCAACGAACCAAATTATTTAAGATCAAAATACTTTATTAGAGATAAAGGAAAATTCATAGAAATTATGTTTCTTATAAAATTGGAATATATATAAAAAGAATTCTTGTAAAATATAGAAACGAATCGATTCTCTCTTCATGATAAAAACGTAAAAAAAAAAAGAAGAAACGAAAATACCATAGCAATATATTATTTTATAGTTAAAAATGATTTTATCGTTT